GTGGTTTGTTCAGATGCTTTTGGGAAGTAGAACTTGTATTTCAGTTTTCATGTAAACCTTTAGGTCATGCAGATATAAATGTTGAGATTTAAGAGCATATTTTGAGCAAAAATCCATATCAACTGTTTAAAGTGTGATTAGGAGTGTAATTTTTTCAGTTGCTATCTGGAGTGCCTTAAAGTCTTGAAATCTAACCTTGTTTCCTACGATTTGCTCTCTAATCAGTAAAATCTACGTGAAGACATCATATAAAAATGAACCAATTTATTCTATAAATTTACAAATCCCTACAAATCATTAAACTTTCAACCCAATCCCACCCCTATTTTGCAAACTGTACAAACTCATTGATGCTAATCCAATATTCATTTCATATTGTGATAATTTGTAGACAATTAAAAAACTAATTGAAATTAAAATCTAATTTTGGTGAGCAATTTTTGATGAAAAAATACAAATAATTGGGAACTAATTGAAAAATATTAAATTTCATTAGTTTTGTTTTCAAAAACACAATGTTTTGTGACATGGAAACTGATCTCACAGATGAGTAGAAATTGAATCTTTTTTTAATTAGCGGCAGATATTATTTTATTTTTGAGAATATCCTAATTGGCTTTTATTAAATTTCTATTGATGCTTTGCATCATTTTAGGAATAATTGGCTACTTAAAATGGGCAATTTTGAAAAAAAACCAGGAAAAGTTAAAAATAATGTTTTTTTAAGAACTTCTTACTTTCAGTAGAAGAGTTTTATTAATTCATTCAATTGTGTCTTATTTTACTTATCGTTATCAATCTTGTGACTTTAAATTTTTATAGCTCTTTAAAGCTTCTATTCTAAGTCACAAAAGCTTTCCAAAAATCCTACATATCAACTGCTGATAAAGCTCACAGCAAATAATAAGCTTCTATAATCAGTAATTATAAATCATTCACAAACTCCAATTAAGTCATCAAAATAATTTTATAAGACACTGTGGTATCGTAGCAGAGTGGAATCTGGAGCATCAAGCTTTATATAGGCTAGTGGTTTGGCTACAGACCAGTTATGTGTAAACCTCTTTCGTGAAGACGTTGGTTTGATTCCAACCAGTGATCGATCTCTCATTCATTAAATAGAGTGTTGTCGATATGATAAGAATTCGGACAATGCACACGACATTACAGTCAGTAAAATACTTTTTGAAAATGCACAAGAAGTTTGCTAAATTAAATCATACGAGTATGAATGAAGAATGTAATGAATTTTGTCACTAAACAGTAGTTACAATCAAGTTATGTTAATAATAATGTTTATGACAGTTCGGTAATTAGCTTCCTTATTTCCTTTCTGTTTCAGCTATTAGATGAGACTCAGGTGCTCATAAATTTAATTACACTTTACTTTCCACTTCTCATTTACGGTACTCATTACAGTAAGAGAGAGAATGAAAAATTCTCAAGGATATGTAATACATAAATGGCAATTAAGAAGGAAGGTAGGAAGCTTATTTTTTTTGCTGTAAATGAAACTTTGGCTTGATGCTTGGTTTTTTTCGATGTCTGTTTTTAGACATTGGTTGGTTTGAAATAACATCCAAGGCTAAATTCAGAAGGAGCTGATAAACTTCTGGAGTCAACTCTAATCACATCCCTCATCTCAGTCTAAATAATTTGTGTAGATGATGGAAAAACGTCACAGATGATAGAATGAAAGTAATGAAATTAATCACACAAAAAATATGAAAAAGCTGTGAACTGATATAAAGTTTGATGTTTTAGGTTGCCTTTTTGGGGTAATTTGAAACTATGGTATTTTGGGTTTGCTACTAAAAGTTTTTTTATGCATAAATTATCAGCTAATTATGAACAATAAACAGGAAGGCTGTGTAAACTTATGATAATATTAAGTTTCAGAAAAAAACATTTGGAAATGGAAGTTGAATAATTTTCATAGTTCCTCAAATTTTCAAGAATCTTAAGTTTCCAACAACATAAAACGCTAAAGGCACTTCCTCATTTAATATTTGTTAATTACCTTTACAAATTGAGCAAATAAAGAAGATATGTGTGAAGCATATGCGAAGAGCAATTGAGTCATAAATTCATTAATTAATTAATTCTAATGATCCACTAAGCTTGTTATTGTAGTGAATGTTTCATGCTCACGATGAATTTTAATGATACTGTAATTGTTACAAGGTAGGTAATTAGGATAATAATAGCATTGAATGTGAAAAGGTTTTTTTAACGAAATTCCGATGTGTCTGATAAACGCATATGTTTGTGTTCTGTGGAATATTCATCAGAATGATTAGAGTTGGGTTAAATGAAAATCACATTGGTAAGGTTAATTAAATAAGCTTGTATCGTTTCTTTCCAGAAGCTGATAACATTAAACGTGATATTAGGAAACCAAGGATAGCTCCTTAGATTTTCAAGTTTAACTTACTTGATGGGAAGAGAACACGCTAACGATTAAAAAAGGGGGACCTTGATAGAGCCAGAATTGCACTTGCTAAAGGAAATTGGCAAGCGATATTCAGTTCCAATACCATCTAAGAAAATCAAACAAATCAAATGTAATCCATTCCCATTCCCACTTTATACGTAATTGGTGAATTTAGGTGTCCTTTAGTCTCTTTATTCAAAATATTATCGAGAAAATTCTAATTTTCAATTTGATATTCCAAAATTACAGAGCACTTAACCCTCGATTATTTCAATGTTGTTAACAAGCGCCATAAATACGCTGATAAATGTAAACGATACATAAAAACTTTCATGTCTAGACTAAAAACCACTGTAATTGTAAGCAGTTAGAATTGGGCAATGAGACTGAAGGAAATTAGGTCTTAAAAGTTTGTTTTCTCTGTGCTGCAGATAGATGAGACATTCAGTAATTGAGAACTAATCCCTCCAGCAAGTTTAATGTCAGTCAACCATGAACACATTTCCATTGAGCACAAAACACTCAGCAATGATATTCAAATTTTCGTTCATTTCCTTTCCCAAAAATATTATTTATGAAGCAGATAAAATGGAAGTTCAGATACCTTCACATCAAATGACGAAGAGCAAAAGTTCGAGGAACTTCTGAAAGGTCATAACACAATGTCGACATATAACCAGAGAAGAAGTATCAAATCCCCGAGAAAAATTATGAAGCACGTAATTTATAAGCAAAAAAATAAGAATCCTTAATCAACTTTGAGGACATAAATTCTTCTGCGGAAAAATATCATTTAGACATTTCAATTTCCTCTTTTTTTTTGTCATAAGAACAACTGAAACTGAGTGTAAGTGGGTTCAAAAAAATATTAAAATAAAGATGATAGAAATTTTCTGGGCGTTTTTACTCTTTTTACTTAGAATCGTAAAAGGCAATAAATATGATATGGAATTTGTGAAAATGTTGGAATCAGGAGAAATCACTAGAGTAGCGCAATCGTTCCTAAGTGGGCTGTTAAAAAGGTTTAAAGCATATATGTTCTTCTATTTTGAGTACTTTATTGTAAATACAGTTTTTACTTCATGCAGTGTGATTATTTAAGGCAGAAACAATATATTTTCAGAGAAGTCAGAGTAAACAGTGTAGGCAGAATGACTAGACATTGATGTTTATGTATGAGAGCCATTTTTGATGATCTCCTTAGAGATAATAATTATTTACTTGGTGGTGGTTCTGAAATTTCTAAAGAAAGCTCGATAAACTGGTCCCTAAGTATTTAATGATAAGGCTGGCAATAAGCAGACGTAACAATTATTAGATTCCACCATTTTCCACTCATCAAATAAGAAATTCTTTAAAGCAAAGCAAAATATATCAGAAATATACGTTCATTACATAAAGCACAGAAGTTCCTTTTATACATCTTCATTTCTTTGCTGCAAGTCATAAGGACGAATAAATGGACATTATGGCCATGTTTTTATGTATTTTTTTTTCGTCCACTTGCACAATATAATAAAAATATATCCGAAAATTTCTTCCTTTTTTCTTGCTCTATGTCCCTGTTGACCGTAAATTGCCAGAATATGATGAAAGCAACACTTTTTCGTGTTCATTCTTCTTAGAACGGAGGGACTTTTACAGCAGTATGAAATGAGTAATAGTATGAGTACAACTGTCAGGATAATAGCAGCAGAAAAAGTATTTTATTTTTTTTGTATAAAAAAGATGAAATTTTTCCTTTAAATTGTTGCCTATTGGCCTTCGGTCATGTTTTTATGGATGCTTTCATTTGGAAACGAAAATAAAGAAGAAATAAAACTTCACATCGACCCCGAAGCTCAAAAGCTCATGCCTAGAAAAAAAATGTTGAACCCTTTTTACTATATATGCTTCTTCCACATAAAATGGCTCAATAAAAAATTACATTTTCGTCGTTTTCAGTTTCTGCTCCAGGTCTTTCCATTTTAATGACTCATAGAATAATGTTTTCAACTATAAGTGTGTACGGTATATGGAAAAGCAAGACTGCAAAATGATGAATAGTTGGAAAATGGTCCCTGTAAAAATTTCAATCAAGAGAAGCAGGAAAAGAAATGTGTGAAGACTAGCATGACCAAAATAAAACTGAATACCTTATTTCCATGAACTAAATTGAAAATTACAAAATTAAATTTATATTTCATTCGAATTGAAAAAGCTTTAAAATTCACAAACAAGCTGCATAGCTTGAATCTGCATTTTCCAGCTTACACACCTGGAAAAATAAAATTATTATTTTTCATCAAAAGTGGATTATTTTTCATCACTCCAATTACCATGAACACTCTCTTCAATTGAATTTATTAAACCAATTGGAAAGTGCTGAAAACTTAAAAATTATTTTTATTTGAATGAACAGAAAAATAAGATTGAATTTCATTTAAAAATTTAATAAATGCACTTTCAGAGACTGCTTGTTACAGTTTTTTACATCTTTTCGGAAGACTTTTCACATTGAAAAAAAAAATAAATTTTTATACAAAACCAAAAAAAAAGAGTTGAAATTTTATAATTTTTTTCCTGCAGAAAATGGCAAGAAAAAAACGTTCTGTGAAGCATAAAAAGTTTTTATTTTTTTGTGCTGGGTTTTAAGTGAAATGAAGAAGTTCCTTATTTCATTGTGGGCATAGCGACTGCTGCTTGAGTATGGGTAACATCTGTTTCGCGCCATAGTTGAGTAACTGTCTTTGTTTGGGTATAGAACTTAATGCCCTGTTTACCATAGCTAGAGAATTAAGAGTAAGAAATGAACAAACAAAGAAATGTGAGATTTTTGTAGGAATTAAAATGAAATCATAAAAAAAAATCCTTTTAAATGATGGACACGTGCTTTAACAACACATTCGTCATTAGTTCCAGAAACATATTATTTTGAACTGGTGATTTGAATTGAAAATGTCAATGAACGTGTTACCATAATAGATACTATACACATTTTAAAAGCTAACATAGTCTCTACTTACAAATGCTCTGATCCCCAGAAGCTTCCACGTGAGCCAGTGAATGAGAACATTGGCAATGGGACTGGAATTGGAACATTGACACCAATTTGACCAGCATCGACTTCGTTTACAAACTTTCTTGCTGTTGCACCATTTGTTGTGAAAATGGCTGTTCCATTACCGTAAGGATTCTTGTTAATCATTTCAATGGCATCATCGAGAGTGTCAGCTGTCAATACTACGAGAACTGGTCCGAAAATTTCTTCTTTATAGCATTTCATTGATGGCTTAACATCAACAAGAATTGTTGGTCCAACAAAGTTGCCTTTATCGTATCCTTCAATCTTAATGTCACGACCGTCGAGAACGATCTTTGCACCTTCTTCTACGCCAGATTGTACTAAATCTAAAATACGTTTCTTTGATTGTGGTGAAATGACTGGACCAACATCAACGCCGGGCTTATCTCCTGGACCAACTTTCAAGGCAGCTGCACGTTCAACCAAGTCTGGAATCCATTCACGTGCTTCACCGACAAACACAGCAGTTGACAAAGCCATGCAACGTTGACCAGCAGCACCAAATGCAGCACCAGCAAGCTGATTTAATGTTGCATTTTTATTTGCATCAGACATAATTATGCCATGATTCTTTGCTCCCATATTGCTTTGTACTCTCTTTCCGTTACGGCATCCACGTTCATAAATGTACTTGCCAGCTTGGTCAGATCCAACGAATGAAATAGCTCTAATGTCTGGATGATCACAGATGAAATTAACCGCATCATGTGCACCGTGAATAACGTTTACAACACCGGGTGGACATCCCGCTTCATTGAGCATCTCACAGAGTAAAAGAGTTGCGCCTGGATCACGCTCGCTTGGCTTTATAATGCTTGTATTTCCACATGTTATGGAGACTGGGAACCTTTTTTATTCGATGCGGTAAAGGAGCAAATTTTTTCATGTGTAAAAAAGGGAACATACAAAAAAAAAGGTAAAAGTATATTAAATGTATGATTTTATAAGACAGCTTTTTTTGCATTCCATTTAAACAGGAATGTCTTGTTTTAATAAAAAATTAAAGCACAAAAACTATGCAAAATGTTGATGAATACTCACATCCAAAGTGGAATCATAGCAGGAAAATTGAAGGGTGTAATACCAGCGGTGACTCCTATATTAATATTAAAATGGAAATAAAATATTAAATGGATCTTTTGTGATGATCAAAAACTAACTGAGACGTCACTAAACATAAAACTTCCTACAATGAGCTCTATTTTGAAATTGTGAAGCATAAATGCAAAAATGCACCAATTATTTTCATCTTCAAATTCATTAAAATGCAAGGACATGTTTACAATTTTTTCAAGGACCACCAACGAGATGGATGAATAATTTGCATGATTACTTACCAAGTGGGAGTGTATAACTGTAAGTATCCATATCCTATGGAGAGAGAGAAATGAACATAAAAAAGTTACATCATTAATAACAATATGTAATTGCATGACTTTATTTTCATTCACTTCTTACCTTTGCAATGTTTGGAAGTGTTTCGCCGAGTTGCAATGATGTAATGCTGCACATGTGCTCAACAACCTCTATAATAATTAATGAGGTGAGATGAAAAATATATATATATATATATTCAGTCAAATTGCTCAGAATAAAAAAAAAGTCATTATTTCAACTCACGCAATCCTCTCAAAACATCACCCTCCGCATCAACGAGTGTCTTTCCTTGCTCCTTTGTGATATTTTTTGCAATTTCTGACATGTTGGCACGAATGATTTGTTGTAATTTGAACATAACTTGTTGACGTGTCAAAATTGATGTTTGACTCCAGGTTTTAAAGGCACGTTTCGATGACTCAACGGCAGCATTCATTTCGTCTTGTGTACATTTTGGTACGCGTGTAACAATCTCATTTGTTGCCGGATCATGTAAATCAATCCATTCTGTTGCCGTTGAATCGACAAATTTTCCATCAATAAACATTTTTACGGTGGGAGCGACATTTGTTGTGTTGTATGAGCGCTTGATGATATTGCGTACCTGTTGGTATGTAGGAATAAAAAAATTAACATTTGATATCAAACATCAAAGGAGCAATACATTGAGTAGATTAAGAGATTTGAAATTGTTTTTCTTGTATAACTATATTCAAAGTTAATGAGATTCAAAAATTAGTAGATGAATAATTTAAATTTGCTTGGAGGAAGGATTGTGTACAATTTTTACGTATATGGTCTTTTGTTCTCATTTTGCCTTAGTAGTGCAAACTGAAAATGTTCTAAGATTTAAAGTAGACGTGACACGTGTAAACTTGAATCAAGACACTATATTGATTCCATCTCTTAGTCAAAGGGTCTTGAAATTCTATATCAGTGGGAAGCCTCACTTGAAGCAACGTCATTTATATCAAAACGTAAATGCTTTTTATTCATAAAGCATCACACAACATCCTCTTGACTCTTTTATACTCCTGCCAAGGGAGCAATAAGACACTAATAAAAGGGTTTTCTTATTCAGTTAATTTCTCTAAGTTTGTTTCATGCCTGAATTTTTATGTATGAGACAGGCTTAATTATTCAACAAAAGAAGATGATAATTAGAATAAAATTTATGAGGATTCATATTTAGCTATAAAGAAGATTATCACATTTTAGAGGAAATTCTTCTTTAATCTTAAGAAAAATCGATAGTTGACTCTTTGGCATAATTAGCATACGGATAATTAATTATTAAAATCAATTTGAAAGTAATTTACTTCTTCCGAATATTTCTTAGTGGGTTAAAATGAGGGTTGAATAGAGAAGTACTATGGCAGAATGAATAGTAAAGTTTGCTAATTATGATTAGCTGCAATTGACACCGGTTGATAAGCAACATACATTATATCTTAGAATCTCTTCATCAAGAAGAATTTTTTCAAATCCAACCAATTTTGTGGAAAATCCTTAAAAAATCAATCTCTAGCTTTCTGCATACTAAATTATGCGGATCCTACAATCACAAACCGCACATATAACTTTGCATACTTCGTTTTATTATTCATTAGATGTTTAAAACATCTAATTTAAAAAAAAACAGGCAATCAAAATTCAATAATTTAAATTAAATTATTCCCAAAATCAATTGGTGACAATGACAGACAAATAAAGCTTCGAGCAGGTCAAAGAGGAAAATTTTAATTAATTATTTAAATCTACAAAATAAAATTAAAATACTCAAAATTCAAATTGTCACTTTTAGAATCAAATTTCAATTATGCAATAAATTTCCACTTACCTCAGCAGTTGCTATTCTGAAGAGCGACATGTTTACTATTTTTTGATATCAGTCGAGTCTGTCTCTCTCTAAATGTGATCAAATTAAAAAACATAGAATTTAATTTTTTTATTTTTTTGAATCTTAGAAATTGATTTTTTTTTTGATAAATTTTCTTTCATTCATTCAGTCACATCCACCCACATATATGTTCTTTTATATCATATGAGATAAAAAGTATATATAACATCAAAGCTCGTGTGTTGACAATAAAAAAATAAAAAAAATCTGCTAGAAATATTTACGTTCTCTTTTCTAAAACTTGTCAATATTATCCACAAGTACGCGACTCTAGAAATTTTTTCAATTAGCTGTCTTTGTGAAATTCTAATATTGACTGAAGTGTCTCTTTTTGATTATGTATGCGCGACTCAGTAATAAATTTTTGTGCTCTTTCATGAAAAATAAAATAATATGCACACATTTATATCGTATGAGGTAGGTAGAAAGAACTTATGTTTAAAGATATATGTATATGTTCACGTGTATGCTTTAAACTCTACAAATGTGAATACGTAGATAAGAAAAGACGCAAGTTATGGCTTGTTTTAATGAAAAATTTCTACGCTTTTTTATATAAATAACTTTTCTATGAAAAATATTGAGCATATAAATTGAATATGTGATTTATTCTCATTCTACCTGACGAACTCGATCACAGTGAATTATATCAAACATTAAAAGTAATTTCATTGACTTCTTTCATGTCATTTATGCATCTGTGACCTTTGACATGATATTATTGTGACTAGGTCATAAAATTTGTTAAATTAAATTAAAACTAAGCATTTAGAAACGTGTCTTAGAGCAAACATGACTTTAAAAATAGCTTTTTTATTCCAAATTTTTTTCCATCGACAAAGTTTTTATTTTTCACAAAAAATACAAAATAGTTGGAAATCCAATCATACACTTTAAATCTGATTTAAATCAATTAATCTGATATTCCCAATCCACGATAATAAAAACCATCGACCATGTTATCAAATTATATTATGTAATGACTGCAGTTACAAAAAAAAAGTACATCAAAATAGATTACATCAGTTTCAGCAACAGATATAAAATCTGATAAGCAGAATAATCTGTAGATAAAAATATCATGCGATACAAAGTCGCGATTCCTTCGAGCGTATTTAAATTTTTTATGTGCTCTTTCTCTTTAATTTGTATAATAAAATTCAAGTTCACCAATACATATTTACAGAAAATGTCTTGCTACATGTTATTTTTGACCGGTTCCACGCTCTCGCGCTCTTCTTGTTTTATTTATAACACAACCATGTTTTTACGTTATCAGCAACGTTTTTCGTTCTTAAATTTTTTTTGCATGAACGTGCCTTCCAGTGCCATGATGCAAGTTTTTTAAGTTTATAATGTTTTCAGGGCTTGTATAGCGTATTTATTGACTTCTTTAAAATTAAATTTTTTTCAGAAATCAGCTGACAATGAAATAATGAGCTGGACTAAACACGTAGATCCAGAATAAATGAGTATTGACTGTCTTAGTAACCAATTCAGTTTTATTGCTCATTGTCTTACGAAAACAACTTTAGTCTACAAATCAGCTGTCACATAAAGTTAAGAAGAATACTCTTCACATGACAATCTGATTACAAAATTTTACACAAGATCTCAAAAAAATGAATTCAGGAGATTAATACTCTTGTTTCAATGTTTTCGCAACAATTTAACAAGAAAAAAAGAAGAAATTAAAATAGCCTAACAAGTAAAGGAATAAGAATGATTTGAGTAAAAATACCCATAACAATGCAAATTCGGTCATTAAGCAATAATGTCGTTGCAAACATGCTGAATTTCTCTTTATTACATTACGAAATGTTCTGACGATTTACAAAATGCTAGTCTATACTGTAACTGAACGATATTCTTAGCAGCAATGGGTAGATGCCGAAAAAAATTCAAGGTCAATTTAAACGTCTTATCATCGCTATTTTTTTCATTCTCAACTTGTGTTTTCAATATAGATAAGTATGTTCACCCCATATGACTAGTTTCATAACAATCGTCGTCATCAAACCATTTTATTATAGTCAATTTAAGCCAATTAAGTTTTTGTAATAATGGAAATGCACTTTGAATTTTATGGAAAATGAAATTCAATTAATTTTCACCATTCAATTTATTTTATAATCAGCAAATAATTATTTTAAAATTGTTATGTCAACTAATTTCACAGGCAATAACGATAAATTAATTATGGTAAGCCTTTGTACTCACAATTTAAATTCAAAAAATTATTTTGAAGAGAAATACTAAATTTCGTACACACGGCGCTCGATGAGACCACTTGACTAAACATATGATATTTTTAAAGCTACTGAATGCTATTTTTTTGAAGCTACGAAGTAAATGATTTTATTTTAAGAATGTATTTGTGATGAAAATTAGCAAATTTTAAGTTTTTGACAAAAACTAGGTAAAGTGAATTCAGGATAGTTTTTAAACTTTAGTAAAAAACTTGTTGACATTATTTGAGTCTGATAAATTTGATATGGCCATTTTAAGCTACAATTTGATGCAAGAAATAATTTTTTCATCTTCAAAGCTTTCATAATTCCTAGCTTCAACGTTTCTACTGCAAAACAAAATATATTTTTTTTTTCGTGCAAAGAATATCTCAGGCAAGTAAGCATGTCGACGATTATGTTGTTCAGAACATGTATTATGAAATAACAAGTTATCCCCCATGAGAATCGTATGTGCTATCAACTTATTCTACCATAACTTCTCTCTCCTAATTTAAACTGAATTGGTCAGTTAGGAAGTTTTCTCGTATGGGAATAGCTGGATTTATTTTTTTGTGCTACTGCAGTTTTTTCATGCTTTTTTCTCTTGTCTTGAATAAGGAAATTATAATTTCCTACATAGTTTTAAGAACATAAAAAAAATTGCAAAACAAGGTAAAAAAAGTAAAACACATGAAAAAACTTTTTAAATTGACTTTCGCTGCTCCTATAACCCTTAAAGCTAAGCAATAGACATAAAAAATAGGCGTTCATATAAATATAAAAATGTAATATTGCTAGGTAGCTTCGTAATTGACTTTTTGTGATGGAAAACCTAAGGGAACAATTTCGTTTTGGTCGAACCCTTTTAACTCTGAGTTATGTGATTTTTCCCATAGCTATGGCTGTTTTATGATGAAAATTCCTTCGCATTATTATTATCCCTCTTTTGTTCTTATTCTTACATTTAATGTCGGTAATGACATTTACTAGGATTTTTTGTACAGCTCTCATGAGTTTTTCTTTCGTAGAGAATGACATTTACTGCTTGCATTTGAAAACATTAATATGTATAGCATTATTTGGATTTCATAATGAGTGTGAAGAGATCCATTAAGAGCTTAACTGTTGCATTTTTAAAATAGACAGAAGGTAAATAAATAACAATTCTGCTTGATAATCGAAGCCATGTAGAATTGTGTTCAGTTACAAAACTAATCAAATACCTACATAGTCCTGCAAAATTGAACTAAATAAAATAATGTTCAATATCAAAACAGCTTCATAAAATGATTTTGCCACTCACGCGAAGCAAATATCAAGAAGTAGTTGAGCTTATTTATTTAAACAACACTGAGTAATTTGCGTTAAATAACTTATTATGCAAAGATTAATTCCTGCTATAACGGGTAAAGGAGAACATTATTTTCTACTTTTCCATCTCCAACTATTCGCAACAGAACTCATTGTTATGTGTTTGCGAATGAAAAAAAAGCAAACAAAAGTATATAAACAAACATCTATGTCGAGAACCCCGTCATATTTTGCAACAATTTCTAGATTTGATATTTATACAAATTTGTAGCAGGGCTGAAACATTTTTCTTTTTTTCTGCAGCAACTTAAACTATGTTGTCGGTGTTTCTGTTTATTTATAAAGCATGACATTTTCATCTATCTGCTGCTGCAATAATGAATAATTTACAGCATCGCAACAAATTGAAATCATGTCACGAGCACAATGTTTAATGGAAACAAAGAATCATGACGGAAAAATCTTTTGAAAATGTTTTTGTTTTGTTGCTTAAAAGCTTGATGTTTTAAATAAAATAAAATAAGTAATTAAATTTTGTAGCGAAAGCTTTACCTTGTTCGACTCGAATTTTGTAAACTTGGATGAAAAAATGGATGTTGTTGTCTTAATTATATTGGACAGTTTAACAACATAAATCTGCTCTGTGAGATATATAAATAAATAAAGCTATCAGATAAGATTGAGCAATGAGAAAACCATTTCTTCGTTCAATTGTCAAACAATTACAGACATAAGCGTGTTAGTTCCAGTAAATTCACTCTGTATAACATATAATGGCTTTTTATCGTCAATCAGGCTCGCAGTAACTTCAATAATTTTCTTGGCTGGAACCATTTCACATTATGGTCTAGCAGAGCTATTGAAGCGCTTTAAACTTATTATAAACTTACTTTAGTACATTGAACTTCATGTTAACAAAAAACCAGTTGACTTTTTTTTACATAAAATAGAACCAAGCTCAATTTATAAAGCTTTGCTTCAAATTTCAATAAAAAAAAAATATGAAAAATAAATTCTTTTGTTGATTTAACCTTTCCACATTTTATTCTGTGAATGTTGATGGATGGAACTTTTTTTTCCTCTGTTTACATAAAGTACAACAGTAAAAATGTTATGAAAATACATCCTTTGTATAAAGTATAGAACGAGAGTAATAAAAAATGTTAAAAATTTGCCCACTTCAGTGTTCAAGAAAGCATTCATCCTTTCATACCTGCAACATTGATGGAAAAAAACAAAAAAAAATTTAATTCTACGTTGAAAAATCCACTTCATCCATAAAAAGCTAGTTAAATATTTTGGCTTCCCTAATTCATATGTACAACAATTTTTGCTCCACACATAGACATCGCGTACATGTTGTTTTTAAAGCCAAACATGAGTCCTTATGTTTCTTACATACATCTCAAACCATATCCATCAAGTTATAGCTAGCAGAAATAACAGACAAGAGTAAAAGGCAAATATAATCCCAAGAAAGCTTTTTAACATACCTGCAAGATTTCTCTTTTTTTTCCTTTTCTGATTCCTTAAAAAATAAAATATGTGGAAGTGAATGAAAAAGGAAAGAAAAAGTTGTTATAAAAGCATCGAAATTGAGTGGTTTGAGCGTATTTAAATTTTTTTTGAGGTGAGATTTGTGTCCACATTTTGCCTATCCTTATCGTCCTACACATCGATCCATCTGTCAGTCTACTGATGAATATAAAAATTTGCCAAATATGTAAGGACATAAATTTTTAAACTCAAAAACTCCAAAATGACACAAATAATCACCATTCTCAATCATATTCCTGCTCCCAAAAATTTTACAACCTGAAAGCTTAAAAACATTTCCATGTCGCATGCTTCCATGGAACAATTTTTTGACTAAGGCAAAAAAATGAAAATTTGTCGTTTTCATATCATTTTATTGCTCAATATACTTTTGCATGGTTTAAAGTCATGAGAGAAGCAGCGCTGATAGTAAAATTTGCTGCTTTGTTGCCATTTACCCGTCGATTCACATTGTATTGCGATTCTTTCCTCCGCATATACGCATATTATGTTATGGGAATATTTTGTCTCTCATTATTTCCTTAAGTTTATTGCTCATATTTTTCCTGATCTCATTATTACAATGGGGAAACTGTAAATATTCATTAAAGGTAAAATCTTTTTGCTTAATGGAGATGCAAGGGGCCAACTTTTTAGATATTTTTTGAGTTTTTTTGTTGGGTTATTCAAAAATTATGTCTTGGATTTTTTGAGAGCGTGACAACTTTGAATGTGATTAAGGTTATTTATTTTTTTGAATTGTTAAAAATCTTTCGACTCAATATTGGTGAAGCAGTCTTAAATCTAATGAACGTCACTTGTGAACGACAGATTTGGGCTTATAAACATTTTGTGTTGATGTAAGTAAGTAACTCGGTTTCTGAGTGGATATCATCGTAAAACAAAGCAAATAGTTTTAAATTTTATATTTGAGAAGAAGGCAGAGTGCAGGAAGCACTTTAAAAAATTATTCAGCATTATTTCATGAAATAAAAATAAACAGAAATCTCAGCAGATATTTTGTTGCTGCAATTTTAATCCATTATTTTTTTTTTTCAATTCGCATGCAACCCAGCTCGTTAATCGACATAAAAGGTCCCTCAACAAAATTGGACAATTGTGAAAAATTTAACAATATCAAAGTTTTTATCTTATCTTTTATTAAAAAACAAATCCCAGATGAAAGTGTCATTTTATCAGCTGTCTCATGCCATTAATTAAGCTCTTTCATTTGCTAACGAGGAAAATCCTTTTGGGAATTGTCGAAGCATTAAAAAAGAGATATAAAGAGTCAAAAAATAAAGAAAAATGTTTGGGTGAGAAATAAAAATTAAAAGAAATGAAGAACAAAATTAATTTCAATTAAGTAAAAGTTAGCTGATGGGTAAAGAGGACGAAGAACTGGAAATTTTACTTCACTCTTTCTTTGCGACAAAAAGTCATTCATCAGCGATACTTAAAAGTGATGAAAATCCCATGCTAATTTATCATTTCTCTTTTATTTTTTTCATTCTCCCTTTCTCGTCAACTCTGTGACTTTTTTGGTGTCATGAATTTGCATAAATTATGTCAGCGAATTATGATAAGTCGAACAACTCTTTAGCCTTCTATTTTATGAATTTTTCTTGAATTTTTATGCATATTCAGTGTTGATGGGACAAATCCCTTTAATTATACAAAAATGAAAATAATTTGACTTCCATTTCTAAAATTCACACATCAACATCGTTTCATATATTAATCCATAACCTAAATTCCATAAAATTCTCTCATCCTTTTGATCAAAATGAGGAGATTTATGATTTATAATTAGACATCCCTCATAATTACCATATACATGATTAATGATTTTGTGAAGGAAAATTAATCAATTTTTTACGAATGCTAACATGTTTATCAGACAAAATGTTATTCAGTCATTTGATGATGCTACAATATTTATCTGTGCTCATTAAGATAATAAGAGTGTCCTTTTTTGTAGTAGCGGGGGACTTTGATGTTGTGCAATAAATTTATTTTAGTGGCTTCTGATATTTTAAATTGAGAAGGGGGAAGAGGATATAGATTATTATTTGTAAACTATGTTTAGATAATAAATGAGTCATAAAATCAATACCAAAAAAAAAAATCCAGAATCTATCCAACCTTCAAATCTGTGTTTCCGTTAAATTAATATTTCATATTTATATTTTTTTAGATTTATT